ACGCCATCCCCTTTTCCTTATGAATCAGGGTGAAGTCTCTCTCAGGGAGGAGTGATAGGGAATGGCAAAGGACACACTGACAAAGGAGATTAATCAGAACTGGCTTTGACAAGCACTGTGGCAATTGGACAATTATAACAGACTTTAAAGGGGGGGAAAGAAGAATGAACTGGGGAGGAGGGTAGAGAAAATAGTGCAACAATGAATGAATGAAAACCCAAAAACTCTGTAAATGTTCATTAAAGTTAATAAAATATAATTATAAAAAATTTGGTATTTCCCCTTCGTTAAATTGAAATACAAGATGTATCATTATACAGGTACAATATACTTAGAGAGCCTTGATAAGAAATACCCCAAAACCTTTCAAATTAAACAATACTAATGTGTAAGTATTGAAAGGGGACATCATGCTTGGAAAGATGGAGGGTCAGCAAGGAGAAGAAGACCTAACAAAATGGATTGACACAGTTACTGCTGCAATGGACTCAAGTGTGAATAAGAGTGAATAAGGCTGACATGACAGAAGAAGAATTGATACCTTTGAGGTTTGGTGCTGGAGCAGAGTACTGAATAGCTAGCTAATGCACTGTCAAAAGAACAAACAAATATGTTTTAGAGAGGTGCCAAGAGTGTTGACTGTGGAGCCAAGAAAACTAAAGCTGTGAACAATCTCAATCTCTTCACCATCCATACTGATGCTGCCAATTGGTCCAGTGGTACGAATCTTTGTCTTCTTAACATTGAGCCCCAATCCATATTGGAGGCTGCAGTCCTTGACCTTCTGCAGCAAGCGCTTCAGGTCCCCCTCAGTTTCAGCAAGCAGGGTTGTGTCATCTGCATAACGCAGATTGTTGAAGAATCTTCCATCAATCCTGACCCCACATTTCTCCTCAAAGAGCCCAGCCTCCCAGATAATCTGCTCTGCGTACAGGTTGAAAAGGTACAAAGACAGGACACATCCCTGGCTTACGCCCTTCCCAATTTTGAACCATGCAGTGTTTCCTTGCTCTGTTCTGACGACTGCCTTTTTGTCCATGTATAGGTTTCACATTAGCACGATCAAGTGTTCTAGGATTCTCATTCTTCTCAGAGTCAGCCACAGTTTGTTATGATCCACACAGTCAAACGCCTTTGAATAGTCAATGAAACACAGATAGACATTCCTCTGGTATTCACTGCTTTCAGCCAAGATATAACAATAGTGTAAAATTACTACAAACTGTAAAGTGTTAGTCATAGCTTTAAATAAAAATTGTTTCCCTCACCAGTCTTTTAGATAGGACTTTCTATTCACATTTGAAAGGGAGATTTACAAAGACTAAAATAAATAAATAAATAGAGAGAGGGAGAGAAAGGAAGGAAGGAAGGAAGGAAGGAAGGAAGGAAGATACTTTGTCAAGGCATTGAAATCATAAAATTTGTTTCTTTGTAAATTGGGAAACTGCATGCTTAGTTTTCTTTTTGTAAACTAAACACTAACTTATATAAGGGATACGTTTTTTGCAATACTTAATCGTTTTTTCACTTTCATATTAATATGCTTCTATTTGCTTGACAATCAGATAGTTTTCTTTCTACTTTAAGATATGTAAGAAGCTTTGTCTACCTATAAAATACACCCTATTAACTTGCATTATGTTTTCATGACAGTAAGTCATTACTAATAATAGACATTGATTTTAAAACAACTTTTGTGAAATTGTGAAAGGAAATATTTATGTATTTGTATACATCATTTTATGGATAGAGATATTTCAATATATTCCTTATTTTTTTGTTATGAAATAGTAATTGTTTTAAATAGAAATTGAATTCTATGAAAGAGGTTCAAAATTTTACTTGTACCCATTAGGAGAACCGCACAAAATTATTTTCTCAGATTATCTTTTTTTGTGGTATGTAACAAACAAACAGGAGTGGCATCCACTTCCTAAACAACATGCCTTTGGAAACTATGAACTTTGATAAATGATGATAGTTATAGAAAGGCTTCAGGCCTTTTATTCATAGAGTCACTGTGAGTCATGCTCCACTCAACAGCAATCAACAACAACAAGGTTATGTTAAGAAGAGGAACAATTAAGTAAAAAATATTTGCAAGCAAATAAACCTCAAACATCATTTCTCCACCTTTCCCCTTTTTCTTTCCTTCAGTCATTGACATGAGCATCAATGTTAGCAGTGTAACAATTTGTATTGTAAGTCAATGTGGCAAACAAATTCATGAATAACTTTTTTGTGGTTATAACACCTTTTTGTTTCTTACCCAGTGCCCAAGATTTTGTGTAGCATCTCTTTTTTTAATTCAGTTGTTTGAAAAAAATTTATAACATTTGGACACTTTTTGCAAAACATCCTTTCTATATCTTTCTAGCCAACTCCAATTATAAACAAGAGTTAAAAATCACTGCCTTAGAAAACCATTGGTGTATCACACAGCAACAACTTCCCCCCAAAGAAATAATCCAGGTTTCTGCTTGTCCTGCTCCTGGAAGTCCTGGCACTAAGTTTCAAGATGGTTCTTGCTAAGAGCTGGACCCTGAAGAAGCATTTTGAAGGCAGCCCCACAAATGATAACTTTGAATTGAAGACAGCAGAGCTCCCACCCTTGAAAGATGGAGAAGTCCTGCTTGAAGCTTTGTTCCTCACTGTGGATCCTTACATGAGATTGGCAGCCAAAAGATTGAAGGAAGATGGGGCAGCAAGTAGCCAGAGTTGTGGAAAGTAAAAACTCAGCCTTTTCTGTAGGGACTGTTGTTCTGGCTTTTTCAGGCTGGACAACACACTCCATTTCTGATGGGAAAGAACTGGAAAAGCTGCCAACAGAGTGGCCGGATACATTACCACTGTCTTTGGCTCTGGGGACAGTTGGCATGACAGGCCTAACAGCCTACTTTGGCTTACTTGATATCTGTGGTGTAAAGGGTGGAGAAACAGTGATGGTTAATGCAGCAGCAGGAGCAGTGGGAGCTGTTGTTGGACAGA